TCCAACAGGATGAAAATTATAGAAACTAAATAGTTATTTTCTTTATTTTCTTTATTTTCTTTTTGGGGCTCCAGAAAAATAAAGAAAATGAATATGTTTTTTCTTTATTTTCTTTATTTTCTTTTTAAGGCTCCAGGAAAATAAAGAAAATAAAGAAAATAAATCTTTATTTTCTTTATTTTCTTTTTGAGGCCTCAGGCAAATAAAGAAAATAAAGAAACAAAATCTTTATTTTCTATAGATTCCATCCTGCTGGACACCTGGCAAAGTAAAAGAAAATCAAAAAAATAGAGAAAATAAAGAAAATAAAGATTTATTTTCTTTGTTTTCTATATTTTCTTTTTAAGGCTCCAGAAAAATACAGAAAATAAATAAAATAAATCTTTATTTTCTATAGATTCCATCCTGCTGGACACCTGCAAAAGTAAATATTTTCTTTTTGAGGCTCCAGGAAAATAAAGAAAATAAAGAAACATATCTTTATTTTCTATAGATTCCATCCTGCTGGACACCTGGAAAAGTAAATAAAGAAAATAAAGAAAATAAAGAAAAAAAATCTTTATTTTCTTTATTTTCTTTATTTTCTTTTTGAGGCTTCTGGAAAATAAAGAAAATAAATCTTTATTTTCTATAGATTCCATCCTGCTGGACACCTGGAAAAGTAAATAAAGAAAATAAAGAAAATCAATCTTTATTTTCTATAGATTCCATCCTGCTGGACACCTGGAAAAGTAAATAAAGAAAATAAAGAAAATAAAGAAAATAAATCTTTATTTTCTTTATTTTCTTTATTTTCTTTTTGAGGCTCCAGGAAAATAAAGAAAATAAAGAAAATAAATCTTTATTTTCTATAGATTCCATCCTGCTGGACACCTGGAAAAGTAAATAAAGAAAATAAAGAAAATAACGATTTATTTTCTTTATTTTCTTTATTTTCTTTATTTTCTTTGTGAGGCTTCAGGAAAATACAGAAAATAAAGAAAATACATCTTTATTTTCTATAGATTCCATCCTGCTGGACACCTGGAAAAGTAAATAAAGAAAATAAAGAAAATAAATCTTTATTTTCTTTATTTTCTTTACTTTTTTTGAGGCTCCAGGAAAATAAAGAAAATAAAGAAAAAAAAAAATATTTTCTTTATTTTCTTTATTTTCTTTATTTTCTTTTTGAGGCTTCTGGAAAATAAAGAGAATAAATCTTTATTTTCTATAGATTCCATCCTGCTGGACACCTGGAAAAGTAAATAAAGAAAATAAAGAAAATAAAGAAAATAAAGAAAATAAAGAAAATAAGTCTTTATTTTCTTTATTTTCTTCATTTTCTTTTTGAGGCTTCAGGAAAATAAAGAAAATAAAGAAAATAAATCTTTATTTTCTTTCTTTTTGAGGCTTCAGGAAAATAAAGAAAATAAAGAGAATAAATCTTTATTTTCTTTATTTTCTTTATTTACTTTTCCAGGTGTCCAGCAGGATGGAATCTATAGAAAATAAAGATTTATTGTCTTTATTTTCTATATTTTCTTTTTGAGGCTCCAGGAAAATAAAGAAAATAAAGAAATTAAACCTTTATTTTCTTTATTTTCTTTTTGAGGCTTCAGGAAAATAAAGAAAATAAAGAAAATAAATCTTTATTTTCTATAGATTCCATCCTGCTGGACACCTGGAAAAGTAAATAAAGAAAATAAAGAAAATAAAGATTTAATTTCTTTATTTTCTTCATTTTCTTTTTGAGGCTCCAGGAAAATAAAGAAAATAAAGAAAATAAATCTTTATTTTCTTTATTTTCTTTATTTTCTTTTTGAGGCTCCAGGAAAATAAAGAAAATAAAGAAAATAAATCTTTATTTTCTTTATTTTCTTTATTTACTTTTCCAGGTGTCCAGAAGGATGGAATCTATAGAAAATAAAGATTAATTTTCTTTATTTTCTTTATTTTCTTTTTGAGGCTCCAGGATAAAGAAAATAAAGAAAATAAATCTTTATTTTCTTTATTTTTTTGAGGCTCCAGGAAAATAAAGAAAATAAAGGAAATAAATCTTTATTTTCTATAGATTCCATCGTGCTGGACACCTGGAAAAGAAAATAAAGAAAATAAAGAAAATAAAGAAAATAAAGAAAATAAAGATTTAATTTCTTTATTTTCTTTATTTTCTTTTTGGGACTCCAGGAAAATAAAGAAAATAAAGAAAATAAATCTTTATTTTCTTTATTTTCTTTTTGAGGCTCCAGGAAAATAAAGAAAATAAAGAAAATAAATCTTTATTTTCTTTACTTTATTTATTTTCTTTTTGAGGCTTCAGGAAAATAAAGAAAATAAAGAAAATAAATCTTTATTTTCTTTATTTACTTTTGAGGCTCCAGGAAAATAAAGAAAATAAAGGAAATAAATCTTTATTTTCTATAGATTCCATCGTGCTGGACACCTGGAAAAGTAAATAAAGAAAATAAAGAAAATAAATCTTTATTTTCTTTATTTTCTTTATTTTCTTTTTGAGGCTCCAGGAAAATAAAGAAAATAAAGGAAATAAATCTTTATTTTCTTTATTTTCTTTATTTTCTTTTTGAGGCTTCAGGAAAATAAAGAAAATAAAGAAAATAAATCTTTATTTTCTTTATTTTCGTTATTTTCTTTATTTACTTTTCCAGGTGTCCAGAAGGATGGAATCTATAGAAAATAAAGATTTATTTTCTTTATTTTCTTTATTTTCTTTTTAAGGCTCCAGGAAAATAAAGAAAATAAAGAAAATAACTCTTTATTTTCTTTATTTTCTTTATTGTCTTTTTGAGGCTTCAGGAAAATAAAGAAAATAAATCTTTATTTTCTTTATTTTCTTTATTTTCTTTTTGAGGCTCCAGGAAAATAAAGAAAATAAAGGAAATAAATCTTTATTTTCTATAGATTCCATCGTGCTGGACAACTGGAAAAGTAAATAAAGAAAATAAAGAAAATAAAGAAAATAAAGATTTATTTTCTTTATTTTCTTTATTTTCTTTTTGAGGCTCCAGGAAAATAAAGAAAATAAAGAAAATAAATCTTGATTTTCTTTATTTTCTTTATTTTCTTTTTGAGGCTTCAGGAAAATAAAGAAAATGAAGAAAATAAATCTTGATTTTCTTTATTTTCTTTATTTTCGTTTTGGGGCTTGAGGAAAATAAAGAAAATAAAGAAAATAAATCTTTATTTTCTATAGATTCCATCGTGCTGGACACCTGGAAAAGTAAATAAAGAAAATAAAGATTTAATTTCTTTATTTTCTTTATTTTCTTTTTGAGGTTTCAGGAAAATAAAGAAAATAAAGAAAATAAATATGTATTTTCTTTATTTTCTTTATTTACTTTTGCAGGTGTCCAGAAGGATGGAATCTATAGAAAATAAAGATTTACTTCTTTATTTTCTTTATTTTCTTTTTAAGGCTCCAGGAAAATAAAGAAAATAAAGAAAATAAATCTTTATTTTCTTTATTTTCTTTATTTTCTTTTTGGGGCTTTAGGAAAATAAAGAAAATAAAGAAAATAAATCTTTATTTTCTTTATTTTCTTTATTTTCTTTATTTACTTTTCCAGGTGTCCAGCAGGATGGAATCTATAGAAAATAAAGATTTATTTTCTTTATTTTCTTTATTTTCTTTTTGAGGCTCCAGGAAAATAAAGAAAATAAAGAAAATAAATCTTGATTTTCTTTATTTTCTTTATTTTCTTTTTGAGGCTTCAGGAAAATAAAGAAAATGAAGAAAATAAATCTTGATTTTCTTTATTTTCTTTATTTTCGTTTTGGGGCTTGAGGAAAATAAAGAAAATAAAGAAAATAAATCTTTATTTTCTATAGATTCCATCGTGCTGGACACCTGGAAAAGTAAATAAAGAAAATAAAGATTTAATTTCTTTATTTTCTTTATTTTCTTTTTGAGGCTCCAGGAAAATAAAGAAAATAAAGAAAATAAATCTTTATTTTCTTTATTTTCTTTTTGAGGCTTCAGGAAAATAAAGAAAATAAAGAAAATAAATCTTTATTTTCTTTATTTTCTTGTACTTTAAAATAATGAAGATTAGTAAAGGCGTCAAATAGTACAGAAAGGTCTCTCTAACATATATATATATATATCTAAGATTCACATTGCGTTTCTCATTTCTTTCGAATTCTGCACCACTTGTTCCTTGGGATCTCCGATTTTGACGCAAGCTGAAGGCTTTTGCTTGCAGCTTACCTGGCGGCCATATAGATGTATTTCATATGACCGCGCCAATTATAGCTGGTTAAGAAGCCACTATGTATGAATTTGTTGGTGCTCAACATGCCATGATATTATATTATATAATACACCCTTATTTTGATCTGAAGAAATAAACCATCAGAAATTTCAACGCAAATATCTTCATTAAGAGGAAGGCTCACCAATCCATCCCTTCCAGTAACATTGACCCACCTAGTAGTTTGCAAATGGTTATGAACCATTTATGGAAGTGGGTGGAAGTGGAATGATCCTCCAAATGATTGGACATGTAATGACAATGTAATGATGGAAATGTTGTTTTTGTTCTGCCGAGATTGATGGATATTGGATGATAGTCAAACTCCGATTTGCGTGTCCAGGGCTAATGGTTGGAGGTTGTTCTACAGTCACTTGCCGCCCGCAGTTTCGCAGCTTGCAATCTCCAAACCACAGCATTTTACAACCTCATGCGAAGGGTTGTTTCGGATGGCTTCAATGACAGCGATACAGCTATATGACAAACATATTATATTATATATCACATGGAAAAATGCCAATCCAAAGTCTGAACACGCATCGAGTAGACACTGATGTTTGGCAGCCCATATTGACTGCAATGGCACCAGCAGAACAAGATGTTTCCCTCAAGTCGGTTGCCCGTTGCCTGTAGCACTTCGTAGATGCCACATCGAAGTGATTTTGCAAAATTGTGCATAAGTAGTTGGTAAATCTGGTCAACTCCAAATCCAACAAAGATAGTCTATGCAGCTCCCCAGCTCCAAACTCGGGTCGGCGACCAACTGCCGGCGGCCTTGAGCGATGACTCGCTCCAAGGGGTCGCAAAAGACCTCCATCAAGTTGCTTGGTCCGGGGGGGTACCAAAAAAATGGGGCAGTTGGATCAAACATGGTGCTAACAGGGCTGCTAACATGTTACTATTGTCATGGGAATTACCATCTGGTAATTTAACATAGCTATGGAAAATCACCATTTTTAATGGGAAAACTCACTATAAATGGCCATTTTCAATAGCTATGTTGGTTTACCAGAGGGTATCCACCCGTGTTGTTTTTCCTCTTGTGGTAACCACAACAACCTGGCGATTTCACCGCAGGTTGGGCGCACGGATTGACAAAGATGTCAAGATTGACCGTCCCTTGGCGCTGTTCGTTGAGGCTGATGGTTGCTGGTTTTTGAGGTGGTTTCAACTGAGGCTTTTTAAACCATATTTCGACTTGTAGTCATAGGTTCTAGGGGTATCCCGCTCTTCCCCATTTTGAGACAAATCTAGAAACTGTTCTATTGTCCATTGTTGGGATGTAGTAGACCCTCACATAACCCAGTTAAGGTGGGCAGTTGGCCTATAACTCTCATTACCTCGTTGGATCCATCTACCAACAACCCAACAGTTGCAAACAAACTTAGCCAACTACATCACAATATGTTGCGCTCAATTATACATGCCCATATCGAAAACAAACATAACTAGGGAACAGCGCTGAGAGGCGCCTGGTGGTTTTAAGGGGGTTTGGGTGCACCCCACCCCACCCCATGATCAACGTAACTTCATCAGCGCAACATGAACATGAACGATAATATCCCGCCCCACCCCACCTCATGATCAACGTAACATCATCAGCATAACATGAACATGAATGTTAACATCCCACCCCACCCCATGATCAACGTAACATCATCAGCGTAACATGAACATGAACGTCAACATCCCACCCCACCCCACCCCACCCCATCATCAAACAAACACAGAAAAACACAAAAAAAAAACGCCCCCCAAAAAAAAACAAACAAACACAAAAATACAACAAAACATGCAGGCGCCCTGCAGCGCCCATGGCAACTACATCATAATATGTTACGCTCAATTATGCATGCCAAGGAAAACAAACATATATAATATTATATAATATAAATAACATAAATCGATAAATCGATATTACACACATCCATTAAATCCATCAACATATGTAAAAACATGACATTTACTGCCCATGTCTATTCGCCACAACGGGGTTCTCGGGTTGTTCCCCAACCAATTTCTGCAGCGAGGACAGTCGACGACCTTGGACTTCAAATCCGCAGCTGCCATGCCAGAGTTCAACCCGGTGGATCCATTAGCACATGTCAGCGGCAAGAAAGCTGTAGCTGGGTGAAGTGCTGGGATTCGATTCTGCGGATTTTGGCGAAAAGACAAAAAAAACATCGGCTAACAGATGTCACTTTGTTGACTCTTAAAAAATTACCCTCTGGTTATGACTAACATAGCCATGGGATAGATGGCCCATAGAAATAGATGATTTTCCCAGCTAGAAACCTCCATTTATAAGGGATTTTCCATGGCTATGTTAAATAACCAGATGGTAGATATATCAGGCCCAAGACAAACAGCGTCTTTTGACATATCCTTAATATTCAGAGTGTTTTTGAATGCTGTTTTGGTGTTTTTTTTCTGTGTGTTTGAACATGGGGCATCACAGGCAAAACATGGCATGAACTCTTGGGGTGTCCCACTGTTCTATCATGTTCTATCTATTTTGGGGGTTGCTATAATATGTATATAGTTGTACGTATATATATATATACATATTCATACATAATCATATCAGACTCATATATATATAGAATCATATCATAGATGTATATAACACATATATAATATATTCATATCTACATTGCTACAAATATCTAGATAAGTAAATAAACACACGAATAAATACATACATATATATATATAACATATATAAATGGTTTATATTATATATATATATTGTAGATATAAACGACATGATGTGTGCTTCCCTCAGCCGCCAAAAAGGCCACCACCTCGGGGATGAAGACCATCTTCGCCGCGGAGTCCTCGCTGAACGTCAACCGACGGATCCGCAACGCCGCGGTGCCCCTGGGGTGCGCCGTGGAAGACGATGCCGCTGTGGTGGAGGACGGGGATGCGGATCCGTCGGAGGCGCCATGGAGGCGGGGGAACACCATGGATTTAGTGGATGAAACACCAGATATTTATACATATAGAGGATTGGGATATGTTTATATATATATATACATATAATATCTATATATATATATATTATATTATTTATATATATATATATATATATTATATATTATATATACATACTGTATAATATATATATATATATATTTGTGTTCATATAATATATGTTTATACAGTATCAGGGTCATGGGACTACCGCATACCTGCGACCCCAGGAGCTGACCCTCCAAGGCGTGGACCTCGAGAGGAGTCGGAAGCTGATGCCTCGCCGACCCGCCTGGTCTTATGAGATCAGCCGCTCAGATGAACTGCTGGGGGGAAGTCACTAGTGGTTACATCAATATACTGGTTGGTGGTTTCAAACATTTTTATTTTTTTATGACATATGGGATAATCCTTCCCATTGACTAATATTTTTCAAGATGGTTAAAACCACCAACCAGTATAGATAATCTGGGGGGGTACCCCAAAATGGATGGTTTAGAATTGTTTTTTTGATGGAACATCCTATTGAAATGGATGATTTGGATTGATTTGGGGGTACCCCCATTTTCGGAAACCACCAAATATGACAAATGGAGGACAGATATCATACAATCCTGGAAAAATATGGGTATCTAGGCATCTAAGGGTATCAAGAACCCAGACGAAGTGAAGAACCAGCTATGAGGAAGGAAGCTTCAAAGATGGGAAGCACAAATACCTATCCTTTGGCGAAGGTTGCCATTCGAGTAAGTAAAAATATGTCAATTGCCAAGACGAATGGGATGCAGACAACGAATGTGAATATGTACCAAACAGCCGCCTTAGAATGCTGTTTCTGAATGTTGTGACTTCCAGCAAGCCCAGCATTTGCCACTTCATACCATCAATATGTGGGGTTCGTTCATCCCAACCCAAGTCATCCAAGTCTAAGTTCGGCATTTTTTGCTAGTTGTTCCACATATAGCTCAAGATCATTCAATATCCTATTCATGGATGAAATGGACAATGATAGGGATTTGTTTCTAGCCGATGGGCTTGAAGTACTGTACCTGCCCACTTCATGAGTAGACATTGACCTTGAGACAATTCCAACGCTCTATTTGCACAAATCAAAGAGCATCCCGGATGTGTATCATATCACAATTGTCATACATTTCTGGCGTTTTAAGGTGTATTTGCCCTATTTCGCAGGGGCTTCCCATGACAAAGTCATCATAAAAAGTCAGCATCGCTTCATCGACCGAGGTAGTGGTCGATTGCATCATCGAGAAGCTCAGAGCTTCAAGCAATGGCTCACTGACGTCTTTGGGCGACAGCCATGGCGACATTGTCAACACATGACGGAAAAATCATGAAGATGATCACGAAATTATCATGGAAGTGTCATTACTTGTTTTCTGTAACTAGACTATAAATGAACTTCAATCTGCAATTTGATATCTTATGTGTGCTTTCGCGTTGACTATATATATAATCAAACGTGACTCGCTTGTGATTCATTTCTTTCGTGAATATTCACCGTGATTCACAGATTCCTCAACTTTTAGTGGACATGTTCAGAGAGAGCAAAAACTTAGCAACTTGACACATTATTATAGTTATTTCCAGAGATACAAGAATGATAGATCATGTTCGTGACGTTACTAGTATCAACTCCATGAATTGCATCCCCAATGTCAAAAAGTCTGAAGAAATATACCCAGATATGGGGATGGTCATCCATTCATAGGGATGAATGGAGGTTTCCTGAAATGGGAGTATCCCCGAATCATCAATGTTCAAAACGGATTTTTCATTCTAAACATATCTAGCTATTGGGGTATCCCCATTTATGGAAACTTCCATATCATGCTTATGAACCATTATTAGCCATTAGTCAATCACTATTAATGACTATTAACCACTATCAATCCCCATTTATCATCCGTTCTTTGCTGGGATTTTCCCTTAACAGCTGGGGAAGCCCCATGAGCCTCGCCTTTTTTCAGGTGCAGGATCTCATCCAAGCCCGTGGTGGCTATCCGCCAGCTTACGACCCTTGGTGAAACAACAGAGAATGGATGGTGAAATCTCAGGAAACATGGTTTTTGAGGTGTTTTTTGGGTATGTTTTTTTTCAGAAACTCTTGAGTGATTTTTTAAGAAGGATTTTGCATTAATGTTTTTTTATGATTTTGAATTAATGAAGTTTACCGATTTCTTAAACTGTACAAATATGTACCATTCTGTACCTAAAAGATCTTGAGAAACTGGCAAGATTCCTGCTTCCAGTTGCCAGATGTTGATGTTTGGACACTTGTAGTGAGCTCAATTGACCAGACCAGTCCCATCCAATCTCAGTCATGGCTATAAATTCCATTTTGGTGGTCAACATCATGTCCTTTTTGGCATCCTTTTTGGCAAGCACGCCTAAATGTGTGTTGCTTAAAAGCATCCATGTTTGGTTTTCCCAAACAGTTTCAATCCATCCATCTTTGGATCAACTTGTCCATTTTTGGTTGCTTCAAGCATCATTCGTTCAGGACCCCGTGGGGCCAGAAAATATCATATCTCAAACTCCCATGGTTGATCATCATGTCATTTTCCCTTTAGCATCACCTTAAACAAAAAAAACATAAGGGGTTTTACCGTAAAACACCGTAGCCCATTTCTGGATCGATGTTTGGTAGTTCACATGGACCATCATGGACCAGAAAAAAACACAACTGTTCGCCCCCTAATCTCCATGATATCCTGAAAAATAGTCGGATTTATACCCCAATGTTTGTCAGTGAAATCCCCATTTTTTTCCCCCTTGGAGAACATTGGAGAAGCTGAGCTGATGAGTTTCCTAAATAAACCATGGATAGTTCGGTCATGTGTTCATTCCCAGATGCTCCATGTATGGTATATTTACCTACATTTACCCCAAAAATAACCCAAATGTAGTTAAATATTCCATACATGGAGCATCTGGGATTGCTTTTCCACATCGATAGTGCTTTTCCCCAGGGGGAAGCCACAGCGGTCCAGGAGACCAATCTCCAAGTCTGGCGTCAGCTGTGGCGCGTCTTGGAGCGCTGCAACGTGGCGGTGTGCGTCATCGACGCGCGGCATCCCTTGCTGCACCTGCCCCCTGCGTTGATTTATCACGTCAACCGACGCCTGGCCCTGAAAAAGAATGGCTTGTGATCTGTGGAGTTCGAAAAGTGAAGTTAGGCCCAGGAGTCAGAATGGCTTGATTCCGAAATGGGGATGGGTCAAAACCCTATCCCCCTGGTGAACATCAAAATAGCTGGTAAATGGATGTTCATCCCCCTAAAAATGGTATGTATAGGTATTGATCCATAGCCAAATTGATCCAAATCCTATTTTGATATGATATAACTATTAATATATTGATGATTGATGAAAGCGAAATTGTGATCACAGCAACTGAAATAATTGGATCTCCATGTTTCACCAGTCTGGGAGTGAATGATATTTCATACAGGGAAATTACTGTGGCATAATGAGTTACCCTTTTGCCATTTGCCAAATAAATCAATTTTGGGTCCAGATGTATCAAACAGATTTCATAGAATAATCATGTGTAAGTTCACTTAAAAGTTTGTTTTCAACACATTCATAGATTTATTACATATGAAAAAATATATGAACATGTATATATATACAAAAAGTGTATATTTACATGATATATATATAATTATACAATACGAACAGAATGTGACAGGATCAAACAAAGTTGAGCCGTAGAAAATGCATCAGTTCTTCCCGTTCCCCCAGGAACCCTCCGGAAACCGTTGCTGGTGGTGCTCAACAAGTTGGACGCCGTGTCTGAAGAGAACGCCATCTGCTGGGCCCAGGCCTTACAGCGGATTCCGGGCATTGCGGCAGTGCTGGGCTACTCCAAAGAGGATCTGCGGCACCGGAACTTTGGGGATTTGCAACTGGGAAAGGAGGCCTTGATTGATGCTTGGTGCCGATTTCTGATGATTTTGCTGGGGGACATGTGGGAGTTTGTAAAAACCCCGCGCCTATTCGTTTAATCTTCCATGATCCCCCATGAGCCATTTTTAGCTTTCACTCGGAAAAAACGATAAGAGGAAAAAGTCACGATAACGTTGGTTGTGTCAATGATCTGTGTCCAGACTCTTGAAATCCAAAGTTCTTGATTTTCCATCATTCTGCGCCTATTTAGTGCTTTTGGTCTTTTCCTTTCATTGTTTGTTGTGGTAATGGCGCAGATTCTGCACAAGGAAGGTGTTTGGTAGGTGGTCGCTACACTCCTTTTTTGATGATTGCCAGAAAAAAAAAGGAACACACACACAGGATTCACGAACGATAACTTTTGGCATCAAAAATGGTCCGTGTGAGACACTGCCTTTTTTGTCCTTTTCCTCTCCCTTTCCTCTCCTGTTCCTTTCCTTTTTCCTGTCTCTTCCTTTACGCTTCTTTTTCCTTCTCCTTTCCTTTTTCCTGTCCTTTTTCCTTTCCTTTTTCCTTTCCTTTTTCCTTTCCTTTTCCGTTCCTTTTCCTTTCGTTTTCCTTTCCTCTTCCTTTTGCTTTCTTTTTCCTTTCCCTTTCCTTTTCCTTTCCCTTTCCTTTTCCTCTCCCTTTCCTATTCTTTCCTTTCCCTTCCTTTACTATTCCTTTTTCATCCTTTTTCTTTTCCCTTTCCTCGCTCATGTGAATTCTTTGATCAAGGTGTGAAGCCAGCGCTTGGAAAAACGATAAGAGGGAAACAACGATATTTTGGAAAAACCATTTGAAAGGGCTCGGGTTTTTTTTACAACCCCCATGTGTTGTTTTTGCTTGTTTGTTGGGTGTTTGACTTTGTTTGAAGAGACACATGTGTGTGTTTTTGTTGACTCCAATGCTTGCAAGTTGGAATTGGGAGTTTGGCAACAAACATGAAAGCACAACATATTCCATCATATACAAGTACCTATAGTGGATGGTTTATAGACGATGACTGAGCAGGAGCCACAATACATATGAATTGAAGGTATGGTTCATGATTTAAGGTCTGAAATAACAAGAAGATACCACCAATCCACTAATGATTTTCACTAATGGTAGAGGTGGCTGGTTTCAGATTTGACTTCACTACCTGTGATGACTACTGCTACCTAATAATTATTGACTATCATCCCTCTGGTTGAAAGTACATGAACTCTAAAATATGCAAGTTTGACTTCCTAGAAGCTTAAATCTGCAGGTCAAGGCACCAAGTGACGCCATGTTTTGCTCAGGAAATCAGCCACCGCGTCTACTCCGAATGGCTTGCCTCCCGCCCAGCCGAGTCCACCGCAGCCACCATTGAAGCCGCGGCCGCCCCGGCCGCCCCGGCTGGCAGAACGGCCGAGGCCACTGAGGCGTTCGTGGCATCGGAGAAGTTCACGGGCGCGCGGACAGGGTATTACTTTGGAACAGGTCTGGGGGGCCACGATTGAGCCATTGGGCTAATTTGATGTAATTTTGGGGGTAATGGAGGCAACTTTTTGGATTCAGCCTGGAAAAGTTTTGGGCTAAATCATTTTGGGCTCATGTTTGCCCCTGTCAGGTCCTGAGGGTACTGGATTTTATCCGGACACAGGTGAAAACCGGAGATCTGCCATGAAGTCGCCAAAAAGTGCTACAGATCCAGATGTGGATGGCAATGGTGGCGATGGTAACGGTAGTGTGGTGCTGGGTTTGATTGGTCATCCTAATGTGGGCAAGTCTTCCATGGTGAATCATCTGATGGGTGAGAAGGTGGTGAGTGTGAAGGCCACGCCGGGGCATACCAAGATCCTGCAGACGTTGCAGCTGAACGAAAACACCTGCCTCTGTGATAGTCCTGGAGTGGTTTTTCCGCGATTGGAGGTGCCGAGAGAAGCACAAATTGTTGCTGGGCTGGTGTCATTTCAGCAGAGATTTTTAAGGTGTACCCTCCGAAAAATTCAAAGTGGCACATGGGAAATGCCCTACCTACAGATGGAGATTTTAATGGGAAAACCATCGACAAATAGTGGATTTTCCATTGCCTCGTTTGATTTCCAGAGGGTAACTGGTGCAACATGGTGCTAGGAGTCTCCATAGCCCTTGGATTTCTTTGATACGAGTGTTGTGTTAGTCGATGCTCTTGCCCAACACATTGAAGGTAACTGTGATTTTTTGTGGATTCTATCCAGCAGATGATTCATCATTGATCCATAATATCATGTATACATATATACATACAGTATACATATTATACATATACATATTATATCATTAATTATCATTATATATCCATACTCATATGAATCATATGGGTGTGTCACATCGGTCATGAGTACTGTAATCACGAAGGATCCATTGAAATTGCTGTGTTGTATCGCCTATTTGAGTCAAACCCATCTTCTTCTTCACTTTGTTTTTCCCTGAAGGTATGCACCGATTATAATTATTTACAATTATATACAACTCAATTCCACACTTCCTCCCTACCTTTTTCTTCCTTAAAGACAGGACGGAAGCCACCAGTTGAGGTTGGTATGTTAGTGCCTTTAGCACAAGTTCGCGAGCCCTTCAGCGCCATCCGCTGGGTCATGGAGCGGTCTGAGAAGCCGCTGGCGGAACTCTTGGGCTTGAAACCTGTGAAGTTGCGGCGTGTCCGCGAGTTATTCGAAGCGGGTTTGGAGCTCCTTGGCACAAGGGATGCGATGTGATGTACTTAAATGGAAGTGGTGGCAAAATGTGGCGCAAAACTAAATAGACATGGTGTTTCGGATTGTCTTGGGAGGATTGTAACACTCCATATAGTATCATATATACTATATACTAGTAGTATTCAAATATTATGGTGATGTGGGTTGTTGTTTTTCAATGTATTTTGGATTTTCATTGTTTTCCGGGTTTTACTGTACACGTGAAAGAACCGTGGACATTGCCTCCCCATGTGTATTACCTTTGAACTCATCTACAGCTACATCAGGTTTTTGGGGACCCTTGCCTCCACAACACGTTTAATATTTATACAATGTTTAATTACTATATACATATTATATCGTGTATATATATATATATGTAAGATGTTCTACGTCGTCGTGCTTGGCACTTGAAGTTTCATCACTTTTGAGCTGAATTCGGAACGAAAAACACATTCAACAACTCGACAGAATCAAGCTTCCAACCTTAGTGAAACTGAAATCTCAGGACCCTTCAACTTAATTTGGTGGAAGCAGAGGATGACGACGAGGTTGTTCCATGGTCTCCCATGTTACTCTGCGCTCAGCTTGCCACACAGCGTGGCTTCGTACAGAATGGCCGACCAGACTGCATGAAGGCGGGAACGGAAATCCTCGAGAGAGTCACTTGATCATTTGATCTAAGCTGGGGGGAAGCTTTGAATTTCGTGTAGAATACTACCCTCTGGTGTCATCAAGCATGGCAATCAAAAATCCTCCATCAAAGGAGGTTTTAGTGGGAAAATCAACGATAAAGGGAAAATCAACTATAAATCGTTGATTTTCCAGCCTTTGTTTTTTTCTATAAATCATGATGCTGATACATAGCAGTTTGCGCTGAAAGATCATGGGCCGCACCTGAGTCACTACAGGAATCGACTAATCATCACTTTTTGGTGCTTAGAGATAAAGCACAGTGTTTAACCCCCTAGAGAGAACCATTTTTGTATGTTGGGTGTTGTGAGTTCGCCACGCAGGTTTTGGAATACTTGGATCTCAGCGCATCAGGGTGATTTTTTTGGGGCTCATCATGTTGCAGCGGTTGTCCGCAGTGCCATTGGTAGAAATGTAGAAAGTGGCTCAATCCTCTATGTATTCAAACATATTCAAATACTATATGTTCAATATAACTTCAATATAATATGTTTGTATATATGGTCCTAATATCATATATATAGCGCGTATTCAGTGCTGCCAAGGTTCTTTCAGGCCGCATTGCATATTCGGTGCCACCACCGGCGGCGACAGCCTCTGGCCCCAAGCCTCCAGAGGATGGCAATGACAGCGATTGGAATATTTGTGATGAAGATTTCGAAAGTGAAGAGGAGGAGGAGCGGACCGGAAGAGCGAAATTGTGTTGTCCGCATGTTGCAAACTTGGCAGCTCATGTAGTCAGGGATGTCTTGTTTTTGGTGAACAAATATTTTTTGCGTAACCCCAAGACTGGTTGCTTGCTTCAAACATGCTTCATACGCGATGATGTCCAGGATGATGGTCCCAAATAATTGACTCATAATTTCCTGGGAGTTGAAACCAGAAACATCCAGAAACCACCAACTTCCTACCAATATCCTCAATGTGTGGTATAGGGGCGTGGGGCGTATATTACCTATTACATAACTGGGTCATGTTTGAAGGTAAGTGGTACACATTCCATACACGCCCCCAGATTGGGACTTGGTGATCAAGAAATAAACAGTTTGTTGAAGCAAAGAACCAGAGTAAACCTCTTGTAAGCCTGAAACCAATCATAATTTCATAATTTAATTTCCAAACACGATGTTCCAAATTCCATACTTAAACCATTTCTATCCATTTCTCGGCCATTTCTCGCTTCATTTACAAAGCAGTGGGAGGAAGAAATTGGAGACCGAGATCTTCTTGAGCTTTTTGGCCAAGAAGCCACCGGCATCGGCCGCTCCAGCAAGGCATCCATCAAACGCCTCCCGGCCATTTTTGGGGCGCTTTAAGTGGGGGGCGCCGTGGGCCAAGTGGGGTGCCATGGGGCAAGCCTTATAGAGATGACACCAGGGTTTTCAGATGGTAATTCTGTTTAATCATATAGTTTTGTAATGTTTTGTATGAAATTCCTGGATGCTTGATGTTCTTTGTTGGTCCAAATGAAACGTTGAAGATCCCCGATGTGGTACTGGCAGAGTCTTATATGCAAGCCACTACAAGCACCAATTGTGTGGATAATTCTTTGTTGCCCTAAAAACTTAATAACATGGCTTTGTCGCCGGGTCTTGTGTTTTCGGCAGTTTTCATAATGCTTGAATGCCATACTGCTCTATATGCATCTCTATGCATTGTTGGTAACTCCAAAAAGCGGCCCCCCGAAGACTGGTGAAGATTCGCCCTTGTGTTGGTAAGACGGTAAGCCCTTCGCCGCCTTAGCCTTGCTTATTGTCAATGGATTGGTTTAAGGGAAAATCTACAGGAAACCATGGTTTTTACCATCAAATATAGGGCTTTCCTGTAAATTTTCCCATCATCCAATTCTATGATATTGGGGTCACCGACATGGGTTGACTCCCGATCCGATCGCCACGGCTGTTTTAGGCTTCAAGCGGCGTCAGAAGCTGGCAGAGATTGCCGGTGAAGCGGATCCGGCGCGGACCCTGCGGCCGTATGCAGGGCGCTTGCAGGAAATTTGGTCGAATGGGTTGAGCTTCCCGGGCGATTGTTGCAGAACATACCCTCTGGTAATTTAACATAGCTATTGAAAATCACCATTTATAGTGGATTTTCCCATTGAAAATGGAGATTTTCCATAGCTGCAGCTATGTTAAATTACCAGATGGTACGCTTTTTACCCTGTGGTAATCTAACTTAGCTACGGATTATTTAACATTATTATACCTACTGGGGACCCTGCTTGTATTATATAAACGTTGTGGTTTAGTGCATGTTAGATTGCCATAGGGCATAGGTTGTGAACCATGTATGTAATTAAGAGACTTTTCTTCGATGAAATTAAATGTTTGCTGCTGTTGTAAAACCAACACGATGATAAACCTGCTAGTTTTGTGGATGATTAGAAAGCCATCCATTTTTGGTAAAGTTGGGAATTGTTTATGAATTTTATCGTTTCGGTTGAATTGCATTGTCAAATTGTATTGCTATGTAAGAGGGGTTGCCTATACTATACGTGATGTTGGGATGTGTCCGGCATGTTTTATCCCTAGACAGTGATACACCAGACCAGGGACAGAATTGGAAGGGTCAACAGTGGCGTAGGTTGGTTGATGTTGTTTGTATTTGGGGATGCAGATGCATCCATGCAAATCAATGCAACTGCTTTGGATTGTTTTTCGGGGTGGGACACGAGAATAGCCCGCCTGAAAATTCATATAGGCAGCTCACAACATGGTTTTGTCTGAAAATAGGGCACCCCCTCCTTTCCAATGGATTAAAACCTCATTTTCCTCATGAAAATTGCAACAAAAATGTGGTCCCCTAAATTCAGTCAGTTCCCCATATCATTTTTTGTGCCTGTGACGGGCCAAGTCGATTCAGGAAGTCGAAGCTGGAGCGAAGCCACCGATTTGAGACAAGATGTATCAGATAGATTCAGATAGCAACGTGTCTTGGGAAAATGCCAAGTTGCTGGACACCGATTTTCTTGGCGGTTTCAAAATTCAAATACCCTCTGGTAATTTAACATAGCTATGGAAAATCACCATTTTTAATGGGAAAACTCACTATAAATGGCCATTTTCAATAGCTATGTTAGTTTACCAGAGGGTATGGTTTATGTCCATCATTGATCATTGTCCATCCCTACTTTTGATGGCCCAGAGTTGAAACTGCCAGAAAAGGCTGGCGCACTGCAAAGCCGGGCAGTTGCAAGATTTTCAAGAGAGAAATGACGAGAAATGACGGGAATATGTGAGGATGGGGTTCCCAACAATCCTTACAATCAGTATCAATCAGTCATTTGGGGGTACCCAATTTTTGGATGGTTTTTAGAATTTCGAATGGAAAATTCATCTATATAAATGGATGATTTAAAGGTACCCCCATTTTAGGAAACCTCCATTTCAGTTTTGTGGAATCAAGATCATCCCTTGTGCTGCCTCAGTTGCAGTGTGCCGTTGACTCCCTTCGAGTCTCAGAAGCTCTTCGCTTGATTTTCCATGTAGTAAGCTTCCCTGTACCACGGAGCCAAGCTGCCGTGATGGGAACGGTGGAAATTGAAAAGAATGAGCTTGGTGGCCTGGGAATGGGCCTGGGAGGCGTCACCGCCTGAATAAAATCAATTTCTTGGTTGGCACTTGTATTAACATATATTAACATCTAATACTATATATATAACATTGTGTGACCCATGAAAAACAATATGTCGGCATTATTGGTACTTCACGATCTTCAGTTGACCGCATATTTTGAAACAACATACCTCTTGAGCATACATGGCGAAAAATTAGATGGGTCAGAGAATCGTACTTCCGAAGTTCAAAGTCAGCCAGTCTTGCCATGTCCACATTTTGCAGGTGCATTGGTCATGGGTTTTGACCTACAGCAAGTTCAATACTGATCTCACTGAGAAGTGAAGACTGACCCCATGTTCAAAAACAAGGAGTGTCACCACCAAGAAATTGATCACTTCAAAATGTCGCTCAATGTTACACTTAATTATTAGTTTCAGGTTGTTTTACTATAGGCTTTCACTGGGGGTTCACCTTGAAATCAGCTCGGTTGACGATTTGGACGTGTCTCAGGTTACGGGGCTGTGGCTTCTCATGGAATTTTCCGCCCAGGGGGTTGGTCTGGAAGACCTCATCGTCACTTGGAGATCCGGAGATGGGCTGAGTGGTTGTACTTTGCTCCATGGACGTTGTATAATATTAATTAATATTATGTATATATGTAGAAGTATGCATTATAAAATTATATATGATAATAAGTTGATACAATATGTATTTATAGATGATTTTAGATGCACATCATTGAAAAAACAGGATCAATTAGCTATCACTCGAAGAATGGGCTGGTGATTCAAGATTGCCCGGTTGAACCATCCCAGGCGCCAGCTAGAAAAAAAACGTAGAATCCCATGATAATCCCAAAAAATCTCCATCTGGTTGGTGGTTTCAAACATTTTTTTGACTCATTTGACTCATATTTTTCAAGATGGTCAAAACATGTTAAAACCACCAACCAACCATTGTCATCATTTTATCCTCATGAATTCACCATTGTTTTCCGCCTCATGGAATCCAAGAACTTGGAGCTGTAGAGCTCCAAAGGCAGTGGTGCAGGGTGACACGCATGGAGTGATCGCATCCAAAATGGCCTTGGGCATGCTGGTGCCTATGAGTCTTGGCGACCCATGGATTCCCATGGATCCATGAGGAGAATATGAATCCGGGGGGAATCCGCGGTTCATGATTTTCCATGGGCGACCAATTTCAGTCGGGGCCGACCAAAGAGAAGAGGATTGGCATTATTTCAGTTATGTTCAGGTTAGTGAATTGCTGTATATACTCAGCCACATGTATATATATATATTATGATGATGATGATGATGATGATGATGATTATGATTATCATTACCATTATTATTATTGCATTATATTTATTATTGTTATATTTATTATTGTTATATTTATTATTGTTGTTATTATTGAAATTATCATACTTATTCATGTATTTTCTATATTTCGTATAAGGTGGATACCTATTGCTGCTATATGTCGGGGTAAAATATCTTTTACCGCACTAGGCATGCCGAAAACGCCTTCCCCTGTACGTACGTATATCCACAGTACAGTATATTAATTCTTATGCGTACGGGTACTTTCTCGCCAGAGAAACACCAAACATCTTTGCAGAGACACCATGGCAGTTTCAAAAATCCTGCCTGGTCGATTATTATAGGGGGTTCCAGACATCCATTCGGGACTGTATTGGCTACTATAAAAAGATAGGCTACCAGATATAGCTATTGACGTTATCGTTATACTAACTATCCAATATCTACGATATATCATGTCCAATATATCCAATATATCCAAATAATATCCAATGTCACTTGTCCAATTTATATACATGAGTAATAATTACATATATAATCACATATATACATATACATATATATATATACTATCCAACATATCCACTACCATTTGGTAAACTAACACAATGCTATTGAAAACTGCCATGTATTGTTGATTTACCCAGTAAAAATGCTGGATTTTTCATAGTTATGTACCCTCTGGTAAACGTTTACATAACTATGGAAAGATCCACCATTCTTAATGGGAAAACTCACTATTTCTATGGTCATTTTCAATAGCTATTTTGACATAACCAGAGGGTAAACGTTTACCAGATCCAGGACATTCACCATGGATTGCCTTGACACCATTCGTCCCTGAGGGCTTTGGGCGTCTTGTGCGCCACATGGTCCGTGAAAATGGCGGGCTGCATGTGCCTTTGGCTACGAGTTACGCGAAGTGGTAAGCTAACACATATGGTCCATTGGTGGTTTCCTAAAATGGGGCTCGAAATCATCCATGGAATAATTAATCGGAATTGTCCATTCTAAACCATCCATTTTGAGGATCCACCATGGAAAATCATCATTTTTTATAGGTCAGTCCTCCGTACATGGCCATGTTCAATAGCTATGTTAGTTTACCAGAGGCCAGGAGGGTTGGAGACTTGGTGGTGCCAATTCTGATGTTCAAAGATTGGAAATTATAGCTGTTAGATATAGAGAAAACTGAGTTTCACATTGGAGATATAGAATAGGAACATAAATTTGGAAACAATTTTCACAACAATTAGACTTGTTTTGTTTCTCAAGCAGGACAAACCCACCTGGATGTTCACTGTTTTTGTTGCTTTGCCGTGCCAGAATCCAAGAGAAGTTGCTGGGAAAATTGTTTCTGAAGCTTTCTCCTGGTTGGGAACAGGTTCTCGTAGTTTTTCAGTGATATATTGTTCATTATTGTTCTATAATATTACATTAATTATACATAACTATATGTCGATAAGATACATACCCAAGATGATGAAGGGGTGGATTGGGGACGGCCCTTGCCCCGAGTTGGAACCGCTGGGCACCGCCGCCGGAAACTGGAGCAACGGACAAAGACTACAAGCCGATTGCCCGATTGCCGTTTGGCGGATGCGAAGGGCAGGGGATGGCAGCGGGTCATCGGGGTCATCGGAAGGGTTCGCGGGGCCCTGGTGGTGATGGTGTGTTGATATGTGTTGAGGGTATGGCATAATTTGGCATGGACCTGGATGGCGGAAAGGGGTAAAGGCAGCCAAAGGATTCAATCTATATAAATATATTAATATGGATCTACAGTTTTCTATTCGTACCATTGCATAGCATTTTTGTTCAGGACACGTCGGACACAACCTGGGTAGCTGAACAATTGGATCTTCTAACACCAATCTTTCTGGCCTCGAACTACCTGGAGGAAACCAGTCCAACATGACATTTTATATTATATCATCATTGATTTTAATTATCAGTATACTATCATGATTATACTATCATGATTGTATATTCAACTTATTATAAGTTTACGTGTATAACATTGTATAACTAATAATATATATATATACACATTGTATGTTACAACTCCCCAAATGTCCACTGTTACCAGATATAATGTAAGTATTATCCCAATACATATATACCTTTTTTATACATATAATGACACGTGTATATAATATTATACACGTTACACTATATATATGTATATATATATACATACATATTCATATGTAATATATATATATATTGTACTATTTGAATATATAAATGTCATTATATAATATATATATAGTCATGATTTCCCAGCACTCCAGACCTCCAGGCTCTTCCCCGAGTTGCACCCAGTGACTGCCCAAATCTTAGGTCGGTGTCCAGCGAGACGGAGCTGGCGCTCGCGGAGATGACGACGCAGAGCTCCTTCAATGGCGGCGAGCCGGAGGAGGAACGGCCCAACGTCATCGTGGATGATGGGGTTTAACCAACAAGATATGGTGATTTAAGCAGAAAAATAGCTAAAAATAGGGAGTTGACTGGGAGAAAATGATGATGAACCATGAAGATTGGGGTATCCGAGGATCCGACAAAAACAGATGAACCCAGCTATTGGGGGGAACGGAGGGGTTCGGAGCTGTTGTTGTATCCATATTCTGCATACTGGGAAGCCAAGGAGCTCCGGATTTCCACATGATAGCAAAGGAAAATCCATAGATAGGCCAATAGGCTTGGAGTTTCCACGAAACTCTGACCCCACCAGCCGCCATTTGGGTTTCTTTAGAAAATCATGGGAAAACCCTCAAATTCCATTGGTTTCTCATGATTTTCCCCATTGAAATCGGCCAGAACTTGGTGCTTTTCATCCCCCATTTGTCAGCGCGAGCGGTTTCGCAGTCGAAGCTGGACAAGTTGGAACAGGGCAAAAGCAACGACAGCGTTTTAAGTTTGTCTCACGACAGCGAGTTGATGAAGCCGCTCCTTGGAGCAATGAATTACAGCGCTGAAGCAAAATGGGACCTGACCGTGACCGTGTGGAAAGCATTGCAAAACTGGTGCTTGCACAAACGAACGAGAAGCATGTTGTGATTTGGAAAATTGAGCTAGGTACTTCTGATCCACCATGTTTGCTGTTTGCTGATGGAGATCATCACTTGTCAACCTCCAAGTCTGAAGGAAATAGGTGTGTATTGGGGATCGCACTCCCGTTGATAGGGCATTGATATGGATTGATCATGATTCTTTACCAAGGACAACTATATACATCCAGTCGGTGATAGGAAATTGATCATATAAGCTACTCATACAATACTCTTCCATCATATTAGTCACTCAATGTCACTCAATGTCACTCAATGTCACTCAATGTCACTCATTTCCATCATATTAGTCACTCGTTATCTCATGTCATGGACAGCCTAAATACATCTAAATACATAGTGATAAACCGTCTGCATGGACAGCATAGACACTAGACCGAGGATCAAAGTGGGACGGAAGACTTTGCGCTGCCCAGCTGCAAATGAAATACTGCTCATGGCGAAAGTTACTCAGTGGTGATGGGTAAAAAATGGTCAAAAATCATGAGTGTTCGCGAGCCATCACCCCTGCAACTGCTGCAACAAGCAGACTAATCTCAGACTACCCTCTGGTAAACTAACATAGCTATGGAAAATCACCATTTTTAATGGGCAAATCAAGTATAAATGGCCATTTTCAATAGCTTTTTGTATGTTTACCAGAGAGTAAGTCCAAGTACAGTACAAGCGGACCACCCAAAAAAAAAACACATCACGCCGGGGTGATATCCTCTGCATACATTTACTGTGCTCTCGAAAACACCAAAGGCTGCATTATTAATGTGCATTCAAGCATGACCATGTATACAGATATGCGCAGATCTATGTATGAGTATCAATATGTATCAATGGACGAAATCTGCATTATAATTATATTATATACAATGTTTTATTGAACTTGTCTTGTAAAGCAGTGTAAAGTATGACAATTCAGACAATGTTGCGTTGTGATGTACATGGTGACTGAAAAAATCCGGACCCCATATGTGAGCCGTGCACAGGGAATAATTATGTGTGAAGCCCATGTGGTATGATATACAAGCATTGCGTACATGTCAATGCCGGACATATTCGCTATAAGTTGTATGAATCCAAATAGCCTCAGTTTGAGATTCTTATGCCTTCAGTTTATGGGGACTTAGCCTCCAAGACCAGAGTCTTCTGGGTTGGTGTGTTCATATCATCACAATGAGATGTTTGTTGGAGGGTTACCCAACCATTGAAAGGTCCCGTTATCAAGGCCCCAGGCCAGTTGTGGCCAGAAAATGTCCCAAAACTCCACGAAATGGTGATAAACACCCACAAAATCAAGGTTAGACTTGAAAAGACTGACAATGTTCAAGAAAGGGAGTCAGCTATGAAAGTGAATCATGGAGTATCATAAGAATTCTTGGGGAAGTAGGGAAGCATATCAAAGATCATATGAATCATAGAATATCATAGAATATCATAGAATATCATAGACTATCATAGAATATCATAGAATATCATAGAATATCATCGTTTATTGGGGATCGTTTTTTTCAAGTGATCCGAATCTATCTCGATCTCTTGGAACTGGCCACAAAACACTCCACAACTCCCAATGAAATCTTGGGGACATACAATACACCAAGGGACATCCAACTGTTCATCATTACTATTCATACATACAATAACATACATACATATATATAATTATATATATGGGTAAATTATAACGACCTCACTGCGACCTCACTGCGACCTCACTGGAATCATGGTTAGTAAGGGACATCATCCCCAAATGGCCTTAATTCAGGTTAGTGAAATATTATAATTTACCCAGATGTATATATAATTATATATATATCACCTTAGATATGTTCATTCACAATATATCCAAACAAAATAGATATGTTTATTTGTTCTTACTACATACAGGTTCTCATTAATTATCCGATAATCTTTAGCTTCTAAGAACTAGAGGGCATAGATAAGTAGTCAACACAAAACTACTGCTAATCAATATATGGAAAATCCACAGTTTCTAGATGATTTCCTGGGGAAGCCAAGCTTTTGCTGATTGGTTACTCAATCCCAGGATAATTCGTTCATAATCTACTTGTCCATTCATTCCCTCTAATTCTATGACATAATCCACAAATGGCGGATTCTCATGGATTCTCCATATCTATTTGAATTACAACAGCAATTAACGTCGCCTGGCGTCACTGGAAACTCGTCAGGTCACTGGGGTAACTGGTGCCATGGACATAGCTTTCTCAACGGGGCTATCATGCGGAGGATCGATCACGGAAAATTGAGGTTCAGAACTGCTGGTTGACCAATATATTGACAACTGGTTGGTGGTTTGGAACATTTTTTTTACCCTCTGGTGAACTAACATAGCAATTGAAAATGGCCATTTATAGTGGATTTTCCCATTGAAAATGGTGATTTTCCATTGCTATGTTAGTTCACCAGAGGGTAATGACTTTCTATATCTTGGGAATGAATAATAATCCCAACTGACGAACTCCATCATTTTTCAGAGGGGTAGGTATACCACCAACCAGACAAGAATTTGGGATTATCACATCAGTCACAATCCATGAACTGGGAATCCTCGTTCTTTATCAACCCGTATAAAGTGGAGTTTCCCCCTGAATTCCTCTTTAGAATCCCATTACAATCCCAATAAATCTTCATTAAATCACGACAAATCATGATTATCCCATGATAATCCCATTATAATCCCATTGGAATCTCATTAGAATTCCAATATCCCACTATAATTCCATTCAATCCCATTATAACTCCATAATCAATCCCGTTGTAATTCTAAGATTTCACCACAGGATTCTGTTGTATCATATTTATCCCATTATCCATTAAAATCATTAAATGAGCCACTACAGATTTTCCATAATTTTCCAATATTCATTGATGCCACCATTAAAACATACTAAAACAACACTTAATGGTATCATGCGTATCATGCGTATCAGGCTGTCGAGTCGCACCGTTGAGGTTCCACCAGTACCTCCGTCGACTTGGATCTGCCCGAGTTGCACCAGTGCGGGACGAGGTATGTGGGATGATGTGGGTGTTTCCACACATGTTTGGCCACCCAAAAATGAATGGTTTGAAAGTTTATAATGGAAAATCCTATTCAAATGGATGATTTGGGGGTACACCTATTTCAGGAACCCCCTATATTATATATATATAGTGCAAGTATATATATATATATTTATAATGTATGTCTGTGTGCACCTCACCAAGTTCGTTTCCTCCGCAGGAACTATCGCGATCGAAGCCGCTTGGCGAAGGGAGCACGGCACTTTCTAACGCAGTTCGTTAGCTAACAAAAGGTTGATCTGCTTAGGTGAAACTTTGGTTAACTAGGGTTAAGCTATGGTTCACTAGGGTTAAGCTGTGGTTCACTAGGGCTAAACTATGGTTAACTAAGGTTAATGATGGTGATACAATGTGATAACATGTGATAAGTATAGTGAGGGTTTATACACCAACTGGGGGCCACCACCTCGAAGGCAATTCGTGCAAGTTTGATTCTCCCGTTCTCCGCAAGGAAATTCGTAGGGTGATTATCCAGGTGCCTACTCGCCCTAATGACCTTGATCGTTGTTTGGGACATCTTGCGGATGGGGGCGTTCAGCTTCCACATCATGGACATGGCAAAGATACTTAATGATACTTAGATACAATTGAGGATGTACACAGACTCGAGATCATTGAATTGGAAGTACGCCATGATGCAGATGCTATCTATGAGCCAGCATCAAACTTTTCACTGCGCCACCCAAATGAGGGGCAATTACTCATTTCGACTTAAAACCGATCATGATGGATGAATTTGGTCTGCTTCACAGTCAGCAAAAAACACCAGGAACATGTGATCTGTATATATATATACATATATATATACATACATACATATATATATATATACACATATATATACACATATATATATATATTCCATGTATATCCCCCTGCAGTTGCCTGTCTACTGGCTTCACTGGCCGCCCATTTTTCGCCACAGGAAATCGCTCCGTGTCGGTGGATTCGAGCTCGTTGATGGGGACCTTTATGAGTTTCCGCCCGGAAACCGAGGGGACTGGATTGAATGGATGAGAAAAATCATGAACGCTTCACCTGGATCAAGGATATGTATATCAGTATTGTGTATATATATATATATATAATATACGTATATATATATGTATATATATATATATGTATATATATATATGTATATATATATATATATTGGCAAATTGTAAGGACCAAGTAGGTGAACGGATGTTAAAAGCTCTTCAAACAGAAATGGGTGAATATTCCTTTTCCTCTGGATGATACAATAATCCTGAAGAGTTGGTCGATTTTAGCCATGTGTTGGGTGTGCTTACAGTATGTAAGGATAATTACATCCGTTTGGTGCTTCAATATTGTGTTATATTGTGTTTCTTTTTGACCCACCAAGTCATCCAAGTCTATGGTTCGTCAGACAAGATGAGGCGTACGGTTTTTGGGGCCTCAATCTTTGTAGCAACTGCTGGCCCCGTTAGCAGCTGGAAACACATCTTCCCGTCTCATTTTGGCGCCTGAGGATACAGTACGAATCTGGATGGACCACTTCGAAGAGAATCAACTTCGGGTGTTCCCGGTGTTCCCCCATTGGGCCCATTGAGCCACCCAGGGGTTTGACCCGACCCTCAAAAATCTCAAAACCCCTTGTGGATCCTTGCGGATGTTTACAGTGCTGGGAAATACTGACCGGTTTGCTGGTGATTCAGTGAATTTCAGTGATTATGGAGTAGTCCAATATTGGAATTCCATGGAATTCCCATTTTTGGGGATGATGGAAGTTGTTTTTGTTTGCATAGCTGACGGAGAAATTGTACCCTGGATTTCCTGTGTGATTCTCACAAGAATCAAGTCTCCAAGCATTCCAAGCTGTCAGAATCATGGCAAACATGAGCAACTTGATATCAACATATATCAACATATATATCAACATACATCATCATATATCAACATATATCAACATATATATCAACATATATCAACATATATCAACATATATCAACACATATCAACATATATATCAACATATATATCAACATATATATCAACATGTATATCAACATATATATATCAACATATATATATATCAACATATATATCAACATATATATATCAACATATATATCAACATATATATATATCAACATATATATCAACATATATATATATCAACATATATATATATATCAACATATATATCAACATTTATATCAACATATATCAACATATGTCAACATATATCAACATATATCAACATATATCAACATATATCAACATATATCAACATATATATATCAACATATATCATCATATATCAACATATATATATATATATCAACATATATATATATATATCAACATATATATCAACATTTATATCCACATATATCAACATATCGCCATGGTTGATGCTCTTTTTTTCCTCGCGAAAACAAGTTCATCTTAGTTCAAGATGTTCCATTCCTTCCAAGGATGACCCTGACCCCCCGGGTGGCTCAGCGGCTGCGTGGCGTGTTGGAAACCCAAACCACTGACCGCCCCACCGGGGGACCTCCAAAATCTCGGCCCCGATGGAACCTGGAACCAAAAAAGGACCAAGTCAGTGCTGAGGATATGGTAAGATATGGGAGGCATGTTTTTTTGGGGGGGGGAGTTGTACTCAGAATATAAATTATAATATGGCAGTGTGTCAAAACCAATAGTACCCCTGTAGTTCACATCAAAATAGCTGGGATTCATGGATGTGAATAACCCCCTAAAAATGGTATTTTCATAGGTATTGATCCATACCCATATGACTAATATGATCATAACATGATTTAGACTTAAACCAACAATCTATGTGTAACATGTGAATAAATATATCACGACCTCACATCGCCGCGTCACTAGAATGATAATTACTACACAACACAATGAATGGCCTTAATCGAGGCTGGTGAATTATTAGGATTTATCCATATGTCTGGGCAGTTTAGAACAACCGTACTGGGCGACCTCATCATGTAGATGATAATTGGTGAGGGAAACCAGCCAAAATATATCAAAATATGTCAATCTGTCAAATTGAGGACACATTCTACAGTAATTTCCCCAGAAACATGATTGGGGGATATTGTCGCTCAAATCACCAAATTTCTTCTATTGAACATCCCGACCATCAAGAATCTTGTCTATGTTGATTATGTTGGGATGTCATCGACCCAATTAGCAATTGGGGGCTGATTAGGTATTTAACCTCTGGTAGTTTAACATTGCTATACCCTGAATAGGTATAGAATGGTATAGATGGATATAGATGGCCCATTTAGTTCGATGATTTACCTACTTTAAAAGGGTGGTTACTTCAAAGCTTGGTGAGGACGACCAAGGCGTTTCAGTTTCCCAGAGTCCATTGATGGCCTGGCAATACTACAATCCATCCGGTTGAGGCAACATCTGGCCAATTTTTAAGGGTCTCACATGACCCCAGAAGACTCCAGGCGAACATGTGCAGGAACATTTGAAGGAATATCATATAAGATACGGTTTTAGTAAGGGAGGGTCCAGTTGTGTTGAGAAAGTGCACCAAACCATGTAAAGCGATAGGGCCCCCCAAACAACGATAACCTGCAACCATATATGATATTCCATTCAACTTGACATAAACCAAGCAAATACTGTTGTGCACATAGTCCAAGGTGCTTCGATCGTTGCTTCATGAGGAAGTGGCTTAAAATGTCAAACATATGTCCAACATGACATGAGGAGCTGACAAAGAGCCACAAGATTGTGACAGTTTCTCAAAACTGGCCACTTCAGAATGGTAAACATCTCTGTGAGTCTGTGTGGAGTCCAGTTTCCCTGCATGGACTGGACGTTTAGGATAGATTCCTGGGCCGGTCCAACTTTTTGTTGATACACGTTGTTCCATCGTTTGGAGGATAGCTGTTTCGAAGTGCTCCAGGGTTTGCAGGACAACTGTGACATACTGTGACTGTGGACCCGTCCAGGAACGGGGGTTACATGGTTATACAGTTTACACTTGCTTTAGGATCACTACAAACTACGTACTGGAGTTTTCTGTTTTTCTTTGGTCAGTTGCCGCTCAGCGCAGTCAGTGAGATTCGCAAGGGACCTGACCAACATTTGCTATATTGTTGCTGATGGAGACAATTTGAGAAATAGTGTTGTGATGTGCCCCTATAGTATTGTGTATAAACATGTCGTGTATATATAATATAATCATATATATATATAATTACATATATACCTATACCTATACATATACATATATATATATAATTATATATACATACATATACAGATACATATATGTATGCATATGCATACGCATACAGCAGAGCTATCTATCTATTTATCTATCTACCTATCTATCTATCTATCTATCCATCTACCTATCTATCCACCTACCCATGCATATCATATGTATATACACATAATATTACATATAATTATTTATACACTATATATATAATATGAATGTGTCTATATATATATGAACATGTATATGTATATATGAATATATATATATATATACGAATATATATATATATGAACATATGTGTATATATATATATATATCGTACATACATCATATATGTATATAATATATATATATATATGCATCATATTATATATATATATGTATAGAACTAGAACATGTATATATATATATTACATTATATATTTTATGTACATGATATATATATATACATATGTATGTTGTAGTGGCATGTCTTTGTTTCTCTGATCACGGAAACCTTGCGTAGTTGTGACATTTTCCCCTCTCGAACAAACGGCGACACCAAAGGTGTGCCTGGCACAACGTAGAGTGACTATATAGGTCGATGGAAAGAGAGACACAGCAAGGCAGCATGCACAAGACTTGAGCAGTGCTTCACACCCCAGGTGGTTGATGATTCTAGGGATTACATATACTACCCACTATATGGGGGATTATCACGATCCATGAGGGGAAATCCTAACAACCAGCCAGTATAGGGGGACGATACAAGGTAGGTGGCCCCATAGAAACAGGATGAACCATGGAACTATCTCTTTTCGTGACGCCACATTACATACAATACCAGCTTTCTTGGCACGGCTACAAAAAGGAGTATTACAATGGGGCAGTGGGTGGCTGAAGTGCCTGGATCGTCAATTTTCTTTGCGCTTTGCTTCCCTCAACCTTACCACTCTTGGTCCATTATAATAAAAACTAAGGTCCATTCCCAATTTGCGTGTCTTTTTTTTTTGGACCGCATGTCTCGATTGTTTTCAATTGAAAAGTAATAAGAGACCGGAATCGCCAAAACTGTGAGTCAGCTCCGTAATAGTTAAAAACTATTCAACCCTGGGGTGCTTATTATTAGAGTCCGCCTTTTGAAATCAAAAACAACAGTTTTTGTTTGCAAAAAGGCTTAAGGTTTTGATGTTCTTCGTTTGGGAAGACTTGGACATCCAATTTCTGGCAATACTAATTTTTACACGGATCTTGAGAAGGAATTTGATCGATTTTGTTTTTGTTATTTTCTGTGTGTGTTTTTAATTAAGCTTTCGATTATAGGGAAAGCGTCGAAATCCAATTTTTGGAAATATCAAGCATCTAGTCCATGTGTGTATTATTTGAGGGAGTAGTAGTATTACTGGTAGGGGGAGAGAATGAGATAGTTGCTCTACTTAAACTAATCCAGACACATCCAGCCCATCATCATGTTCCCATGGTTTACCATATGTTTTTCCAATGTTTTGCCATAATTTTCCCCTGGTTTATCGTCAGTTTCTTACGGTTTATCCAATTCATCCCATATAGCATTACATAGTAGGATGACATTAATTATAACTATATATGGGATAATCATATTTAACCTTAGTATACCCATATAATAGGGCATATTCCATTCATCTAACTGGGTGTATAACCGATCATCCAAGTCAAGTCAACTAGCCTCCGCCAGGTCACGAATCTGCCCTTGACTGGTTCTTTAGTGCTGGGCCTTGAGCTTTGCATCGGCCTCAGTTGGACTGGCTCAACTGGCTGAAAAAATGGTATAGTATTATTGGGATTAATGTGGATTAATATGGATTAATATGGATTAATATAGATTAATGTGGATTAATATCGATTAATATGCAGAACATAGTTTTAAATGGTTTAAGTTAAGTTTTTAGTATCAAAACGATGGGGAAACCGGCTGGTGATCTGAGAGTTTCGTTTCCAGGGTTCATCTCTTTGTGTTGTGTTCAATAAGAGACTGTTATTGATTTTCAAACGAATAGACATTACAGTATCACATTAACACTGATTAAAAGTGCAAAAAAAAAAAACAATCTATATACCAAAAAAACGTGTAGACTCAGTGTAGAAATGGGTTGTTTGGCAGGAATACCCCAAAAATTGATGTCTTGTTATACATTTCCCTCTCAACATTGCCATAATTTGGAGGACCCCTTGGATTCTTGTGACAACTCCAATAGTTATCTCCCCTTGATCCCCATGAAATATTCAATCGTATTCCATATCGTGATATCTCATAAAATCGTGTCGCATCCTATAACATATTCCCATTGTCATAGCATGTCATAGCCCATAAAATAGATCCATTGAAAAAAAGTTAAATAAATA